AAGCTCAGCGAACCCCAGGGAAGGATAGACCCTAATGGACAATCACCAAGACATACAATAATCAAGCTCTCCAAAATCAAAGATAAGGACAGAATCCTGAAAGCAGTAAGGAAAAGAGAAGTGTTACATATCAAGGCAAGCAAATTAGATTAAGCTCCGATCGCTCAACAGAAATCATGCAGGAAAGAAGGCAATGGATAGACATATATAAAACCCTGAAAGAAAAAAAAAAAAAACTGCCAACCAAGAATTCTCTACCCAGCAAAGCTGTTAATCAAATACGATGGTGTAATCAAAACATTCCAGGATAAAGAGAAGCTGAGGGATTTTTGTCAAAGACAACCCTGCTATGAAAAACATCCTAAAGGAAGTTCTGTGGACTAAGAACCAAAAAGAGCAGACAACAACTAGAGAATGACATGCATAGCAACATCACCCTGAACTCAGTCAACAAACAGAAGACTCAAGAACCGAATAAAATTATAAGAACACAGGATGTGCGAGGTCAGTCGATGATCAAAACAATTAAAATGTGAAAGAAAGTAAACACAGAGGAACAGAGATCCACGTGGTGAGAAGGTCAGGTGGATCACAGGATAAAATAGACTGTCTTAAATGGAGGGAGGAATTAATGGAATATAAGGTACCCATAATAGTGGGTTTAGAGTGGGGGGTTTAGTATAGATGTTGGGGAGGGCAATACAAGAAGCAGGAGGAGGCAGACAAACAAGATAGATAGGGGAACACTGAAACAGGTTTGCATGGCCTAAGTGGAACAGTGATAAATAGAGATGCATGCACAAACTTGGATCAACAGGGCCCTGTGATACAGGGATCTGTTGTTAGATGCCATTGAGTCAGTACCAACCCATAGCGAACTTATGCACAGCAGAACGAAACACTGCCCAATCCTGGGACAACCTCACTACTGTTGCCACGCTTGAGTCCATCAATGCTGCCACTTGGCCAATCCATCTCGTTGGGGGTCTTCCTCTTTTTCTGACCCTACA